TTTGCCTAGTTAAATAAAGGTTAAATTAAAAGACAAAATTACATTCAAACCCATTACATTCACTCATACTGACATCCTACAAAGTGCACATAATCCCTAACCTTAAAAATACAAACTAATTAATTATACATCACCCTAACTTTAAAGAAACAAATTCATTGAACATAATTCCTAACTGTAAAAAACAAGTTTTAATTGCACATCATCCCCAGCTCCAACAAAATACAACGTGACCAGCAGTAGCAGTAACAAAATGGGGCACAAGGAGGCAGTGCAGTGGTTTCACTTAGTTAGACAACCTCCTCCAAATGAAAATCCTTGCCTGCTTTTTAAAGCCATTTCTATTATTTGTTTGCTTGATCTCCAAGGGGAGGCTATTCCATAGACAAATGCCTGTATAGAAAAACGTGCTCCTCGCAGTACTGTTTACTCTTGGGATTTTACAAGATACAACATTAGCTCTGGTATTGTAACTGTGCTGGTTAAAGACCATATCAATGTGTTTTTTCATATAACCTGGGGCACTATCATTTATAATTAAGCAATAAGGCCACAGGGGGTGTGGTATAATGGCGAATATACCACAGCTAAGGGCTGTTCTTAGGCACGACAACACGAAGTGTCTGGATACAGCCCTTAGCCGTGGTATATTGGCCATATACAGTGAGGGAAAAAAGTATTTGATCCCCTGCTGATTTTGTATGTTTGCCCACTGACAAAGACATGATCAGTCTATAATTTTAATGGTAGGTTTATTTGAACAGTGAGAGACAGAATAACAACAACAAAATCCAGAAAAACGCATGTCAAAAAAGGTTATAAATTGATTTGCATTTTAATGAGGGAAATAAGTATTTGACCCCCTCTCAATCAAAAAGATTTCTGGCTCCCAGGTGTCTTTTATACAGGTAATGAGCTGAGATTAGGAGCACACTCTTAAAGGAAGTGCTCCTAATCTCAGCTTGTTACCTGTATAAAAGAGACCTGTCCACAGAAGCAATCAATCAATCAGATTCCAAACTCTCCACCATGGCCAAGACCAAAGAGCTCTCCAAGGATGTCAGGGACAAGATTGTAGACCTATACAAGGCTGGAATGGGCTACAAGACCATCACCAAGCAGCTTGGTGAGAAGGTGACAACAGTTGGTGCGATTATTCGCAAATGGAAGAAACACAAAATAACTGTCAATCTCCCTCTGCCTGGGGCTCCATGCAAGATCTCACCTCGTGGAGTTGCAATAATCATGAGAATGGTGAGGAATCAACCCAGAACTACACGGGAGGATCTTGTCAATGATGTCAAGGCAGCTGGGACCATAGTCACCAAGAAAACAATTGCTAACACACTACGCCGTGAAGGACTGAAATCCTGCAGCGCCCGCAAGGTCCCCCTGCTCAAGAAAGCACATATACAGGGCCGTCTGAAGTTTGACAATGAACATCTGAATGATTCAGAGGAGAACTGGGTGAAAGTGTTGTGGTCAGATGAGACCAAAATCGAGCTCTTTGCCATCAACTCAAATCGCTGTGTTTGGAGGAGGAGGAATGCTGCCTATGACCCCAAGAACACTATCCCCACCGTCAAACATGGAGGTGGAAACATTATGCTTTGGGGGTGTTTTTCTGCTAAGGGGAAAGGACAACTTCACCGCATCAAAGGGACGATGGACGGGGCCATGTACCGTCAAATCTTGGGTGAGAACCTCCTTCCCTCAGCCAGGGCATTGAAAATGGGTCGTGGATGGGTATTCCAGCATGACAATGACCCAAACACATGGCCAAGGCAACAAAGGAGTGGCTCAAGAAGTAGCACATTAAGGTCCTGGAGTGGCCTAGCCAGTCTCCAGACCTTAATCCCATAGAAAATCTGTGGAGGGAGCTGAAGGTTTGAGTTACCAAACGTCAGCCTCGAAACCTTAATGACTTGGAGAAGATCTGCAAAGAGGAGTAGGACAAAATCCCTCCTGAGATGTGTGCAAACCTGGTGGCCAACTACAAGAAACGTCTGACCTCTGTGATTGCCAACAAGGGTTTTGCCAGCAAGTACTAAGTCATGTTTTGCAGAGGGGTCAAATACTTATTTCCCTCATTAAAATGCAAATCAATTTTTATAAAATTTTTGACATGCATTTTTCTGGATTTTGTTGTTGTTATTCTGTCTCTCACTGTTCAAATAAACCTACCATTAAAATTATAGACTGATCATATCTTTGTCAGTGGGCAAACGTACAAAATCAGCAGGGGATCAAATACATTTTTCCCTCACTGTACCACAAACCCCTGAGGTGCCTTATTGCTATTATAAACTGGTTACCAACGAAATTAGAGCAGTAAAATAAAATGTTTTGTCATACCCGTGATATACGGCTGTCAGCCAATCAGCATTCAGGGCTCAAACCACCCAGTTTATAATATCAAGCATATGATTAAGTAATGGGTTAGTAACGATTTTGGGGAGCGGGGTATGACTTAATCTGATGAGTGGCTGGACCCTTGCCTTGTTTTCTTTGTAACACAGCACAAAGACAGCAGCCATGATGTTGAGGGGGGACGGACTAGTGAAAGGGACCAAAATGACCCTGCACTGTAACAAGTCAGGAATGAGTGTCTTATACTGTCCTCATTGAACAGCACTAACCAGCACTGTTTCTTAGCCAACTACTACCGTAATGTGTACGGAATAAGAGACTACAATAGGGCTGTGACACTATTCCCTTGGCTTTTAATAACACATTTCTATCTCCTGCTGTAACCAGGATATGAAACGATCTGACTGTTCTCTCCACCAAGCTGAGTTACTCTCTCCAGAGATAAATATATCTATAAAAACAAGAGGGACACTCCCTCAGCTGTGGTCGGTGAATGTCTGGTCTCAAATTGAGCTGGATTGTGCCTCATGCTTTCCATGCTGGGTGACTGGACCTGGGTGGGAGTTTACTATTAAATCATTACGATGTGTGGATTTCTTTCGTAACACTGTTACAAATCCCACTGTATATATTTCTCTTGTTTTCCATTCATACGTCAGTGTGATGTAATTGTATATCATCATTGGACTACTAAATTGTCAAATACCCTCCCTCCCACCATCACCTCTCCCAGACACATCATCAAATTCCTTCTCCTATAGTTATATTTTCCTCAGTGTCATGTTTTGTTCCCAAGGTTTATAAATTTTACTTAATGTGAAAGAATGTGTGTTCATTACATTTGGAAATGTTTGTCCCGCCCATGTACTATCTAGATGATAGGCAGTACTTACTTAGCCTACACGAATTGGTTGGATCTCAAAGGACTAAATCCTAACCCCTGCTTTCTATAAGACTTTTCAGCCACATAATGTCATACCAATGTAATAACCCTGTAATAAGTTGTCTAATATGAACTTCTGTAACTTTGTGCCATAGACAGAATGGTTGTGTCGTCTTCTTGAATAAGGCTCTTTCTGGTAAGCATCAGTGGGGATGTGATGTCAAGGGGATGTGAAGCCCTGCCCCTGCCCCTTGTCTGAGATTTAGATAGAAGTCTCACCGTGGCACTAAGCATTCCAAACTCTCATCACTGGAGCAAGCTTCTACACATCGGACTATCATCACCACAGATCAGCAACCAACCCCCTGGAATAAAATAATAAGGTCTCGGTTTAACGTGGTTGAGTCTCTGAAATATTTGTATTCGGTTCAGCAGCGCACTCATCAACTACTGGTAAGTGTCCCGTTTGTTTTGTGTTTATCGGGTGCTATAAGCTATCGTTAGCTAGCTACATTGGTTTTGCAACACATATTGATAATCGACTGGATGGGGCTACATTCATGTAAAGAACAGGTCTGGATAAATTATAGGTGGCTGGTGTACAGGCGCAGGTTAGCAATAGATACCGCTATCGCTAGGTAGCTAGCTAGCTAGTAATTAAACATCGAAGTAGTGGCTCCAATTGGAAACATGTGGCAAGTTTTAAACCCTAACGTTACAGTCAAGCATCATCACAGCAGCAAACGTTTCTCAACGGCCACAAAAGGGTTTCTGATTGTGAAATGTAGTATTCACTGAATAATTTTCTATGGTTTCTTTTGGTCCTTCTGTACAGATCTCTTAGGCTCACTTAACATGTGCAACTGGCAGCCGTATGCCCTTTATCAGCAGTAAATAGTAAATCACAGAAATGTATCACAGTACAGTACCAGGCAATTCTAACCAAACCAAAGTCAAGAATCTTTCAATTAGAGGGATGATTCATATCTGGCAGGTACGTTTTTTTTGGTCATTTCCGGGGTAAAAGTTAGGAATAATGTGGCTTTTGTATCTAAAGGGGCCAGTTGCCTCCTGTAGCTCAGTTGGTAGAGCATGGCGCTTTAAAACGCCAGGGTTGGGGGTTCGATTCCCACGGGAATATATGAAAAATGTATGCTCTCACTAACTGTAAGTCGCTCTGGATAAGAGCGTCTAAATGACTTAAATGTATGTCCCAGGGAGTTCCATCTGACCACAATGCACATAGAGCCCTCTCTGTGATCTAGAGAGCATGGCAGAATGGGTGGAGTGAGGGGAAAACTGGCCAAATAGAGGTGCTTTGATTTGCTCCACACAATTTTCCTTTTACTGTATTCCATTGATACCCACTGGTGAATCGAACTAGAAATCTTGTAGCTATTGCCATGGCACATTTAGATTATGAGTTGGAATTATTTTGGTTTCGACAAAGTCAGTATTGAATTTCAAATAGCACATTAACCCAACGTTTTGGCCTTGAGCCTTTCTCAATGATGTGCTGGATACCAGACATTAATGGGAAAGGACAAACTCAAAGGCTTGACTGAAACCATCGGTTGATGTGTTGGTCAGAAAAATATGTTTTATTCTTAGCCCATCTGGGTATTGCTTAGTTCCTGTTAAATGGAAGAGTAGGAAAATAGCTATTCTATCACTCAATCCATTGAAAAAAATAGTATTTGAGACCCCTGTCTTAAGTGCTTGTATTTTCTTTCTCTTGATAGGGAGAATGGTGGAGGTGAGGAGGATCTGTTGTATTGGGGCTGGCTACGTGGGAGGTCCCACCTGCAGCGTGATCGCCCAGATGTGCCCCGAGGTGACGGTTACCGTGGTGGACGTGAACGAGGACCGCATCCGTGCCTGGAATTCTGATAGCCTTCCCATCTTTGAGGTGAGTGTGAAACGATATTAGTACAAGAAACATCATAGATCTCAACTGGAAGAAATTATATAAAACACAATTACACATTCACGTCCAGGTTTCTCACAGAACTGTCCTAACTTGGTCTTTCCATTATTAATAGCTACTAGTGTTGCCAAGTAACGTCATTCATTTTGGCCACTTGACTTTTGAGCTCTGATTACACTTTTGACACTTGTGCTCTAACAACATCTCCTTTCTTTCTAGCCTGGACTCCAGGAAGTGGTGGACTCATGCCGCGGGGTCAACCTTTTCTTCTCCACAGACATTGATGAGGCCATAAAAAATGCAGACCTGGTTTTCATATCTGTAAATACGTTTTTTTCAACACTTTCCCTTCTTATAATGTCAATGGCTTTCACACGATTTCCTTGAAAGTATTGTTAAGACGAATGGAACTCAGTTTGGCTTTCTTTAAAGGTAAGATACAGTGATAGAGAAAGATCCATGATTGAATCCACCTGAAACATCTCCCCCTTCCTTTGCCAGGTCAATACGCCTACCAAGACATTTGGAATTGGTAAGGGTCGAGCAGCGGACCTGAAGTACATAGAAGCATGTGCCCGGCGCATTGCTGATGTGTCCATCGGGTGTAAGATTGTTGTAGAGAAAAGCACAGTTCCTGTTCGTGCTGCTGAGAGCATCCGCCGCATCTTCAATGCCAACACCAAGAGTAGCTTCAACTTTCAGGTGATTGCAGGGGACAGTGTTGCATGGGTGGACGGACTGTGTATCAAACGTCTACATTCATCGGTCTGCCATGTCATCAGGTCTTATAAGTATGTTCTTGTTCTTCTGCAGGTTCTCTCAAACCCAGAGTTTCTTGCTGAGGGAACAGCCATCACTGATCTGAAGAATCCAGACAGGGTATTGATTGGAGGGGATGAGACCCCTGAGGGCCAACATGCTATTGAGGCCCTGCGGAGCATCTATGAGCACTGGGTCCCCAAGAGCAAGATTATCACCACCAACACCTGGTCCTCTGAGCTCTCCAAGCTGGTATTAATACCCCTTTTATGTCCTTCTGTTATATCAGTACAATCTCAGGTCAGCAGCATTACGATCTCAGACACCTCCTGTGATGTTTCCTGCCTTTATTCATTTGCTCACTTCTATCCTTGTTTTTTCCTTTTCCATGTTTACAGGCAGCCAATGCCTTTCTGGCCCAACGTATCAGTAGCATCAACTCCATCAGTGCCCTGTGTGAGGTAACTGGTGCTGATGTAGAGGAGGTGGCGCATGCCATCGGGACAGACCAGAGAATAGGCAGTCGCTTCCTGAAGGCCAGCGTGGGTGAGTGAGAGGGAAGAAAAGCTGGAGTGGTTGACTTGTGGGGCAGTAATAGTTGATGGTTGGATGAGATGATTGGATGACTAAGTGATTGGGTTTCAGTTATGAACTAGTGGGGATTTGAGTGGGTGAGTTCAGTCATGATACATTCAGTGTTTGTTTCACAGGATTTGGTGGCAGCTGTTTCCAGAAGGATGTCCTCAATCTTGTGTACCTATGCGAGGCTCTAAACCTACCAGAGGTTGCAAGATACTGGCAACAGGTGTGCTTTTTTCATCAACTCAAAGTAGTACAATACAGAACTTACTTCTCATTTGATAAGAAATTCCTGTAATTGTCTCACGCAACACTTTGTTTTATTGTCAGTAAAATATCACAATGGCAAAAATGTGGAACATCTAAATGTTGTCTCTCCCAGGTTATAGAGATAAACGACTACCAGCGAAAACGATTCTCTTCGCAGATAATCAGCTGCCTCTTCAACACAGTGACGGACAAGAAGATAGCCTTGCTAGGATTCGCTTTCAAGAAAAACACAGGCGATACAAGGTATGGAGGGGCATTTTAAATATTTATCTTCTTACATCCAAAGCTCTCAGAGCACATTTTTCTGCTTCCGCCTCCAAGGCTATCCTTGTGTGTATTTTGTTTTCAGGGAATCCTCTAGTATCTACATCAGTCGCTACCTACTGGAGGAGGGGGCCTGTCTACACATCTATGACCCCAAGGTTAAAGCGCTGCAGATCATGCACGACCTAACTCAGCCCACACTCTCAGAAAGACATGACCCCGCCACAGGTAGCCACAGTATTTTGTGTTCTTTGTGTAAATTAATAGTATAGTAAATCAACAGATTCTAACAGGGTGATTCCATGACAGCATGGCCCCGAAAATATTTTTGGCATCTCAGATTGTTCTGGCAATTCTCACATAGAAACTTCATTAGGAGGAAGGATGTTTGATATGCCTTTTACATTTGGAACACAAACCATCTTTTTGAAAATCACGATAAAGTGGCAATTTTAGGCCCTTTTTAGATCTACCTTCAGAAAGTATTCATACCCCTTGACCTATTCCACATTTTGTTGTGTTACAGCCTGAATTCAAAATTGATTAAATATATATTTGTTTCTCACCCAGCTACACACAATACCTCAATGACAAAGTGAAAACATGTTTTTAGACATTTTTGCAAATTTATTGAATATGAAATATCTAATTTACATAAAGTATTCACACCCCTGAGTCAATACTTTGTAGAAGCACCTTTGGCGGCGTTTACACCGATGAGTCTTTTTGGGTTAGACTAAGAGCTTTGCACACCTGGATTGTACAATATTTGCCCATCATTCTTAAAAAAATTCTTCAAGCGCTGTCAAGTTGATTGTTGATCGTCGCTAGACAGCGATTTTCAAGTCGTGCCATAGATTTTCAAGCCGATTTAAGTAAAAACTGTAACTAGGCAACTCAGGAACATTTAATGTTGTCTTGGTAAGCAACTCCAGTGTAGATTTTGCCTTGTGTTTTAGGTTATTGTCCTGCTGAAAGCTGAATTAGTCTCCCAGTGTTTGTTGGAAAGCAGACTGAACCAGGTTTTCTGCTTGAATTTCGCCTGTGCTTAGCTCTATTCTATTTCTTTTTATCATAAAACACTCCCTAGTCCTTGCCGATGACAAGCATACCCATATCACGATGCAGCCACCACCATGCTTGAAAATATGAAGAGTGGTACTCAGTGATGTGTTGGATTTGCCCCAAACATAACGCTTTGTATTCAGGACAAAAAGTGAATTGCTTTGCCACATTTTCTGCAGTATTACTTTAGTGCCTTGTTGCAAACAGGATGCATGTTTTGGAAAAAAAGGTTTATTCTGTACAGGCTTCCTTCTTTTCACTCTGTCATTTAGCTTAGTATTTTAGTATTGTGGAGTAACTACAATATTGTTGATCCATCCTCAGTTCTCATATCACATCAATTAAAATCTGTTTTAAAATCACCATTGGCCTCATGGTGAAATTCCTGAGCAATTTCCTTCCTCTCCGGCAACTGAGTTAGGAAGGACGCCTGTGTATCTTTGTAGTGACTGGGTGTATTGATACACCAGCCAAAGCCTAAATAATAACTTCACCATGGGATATTCAGCGTCTGCTTTTTTACATCTACCAAATCGGTGCCCTTCTTTGCGAGGCATTGAAAAACATCCCTGGTCTTTGTGGTTGAATCTGTGCTTGAAATTCACTACTCGATTGAGGGACCTTACAGACAATTGTATGGGGTACAGAGATGAGATAGTCATTCCAAAATCATGTTAAACAATATTATTGAACACGGAATGAGACCATGCAACTTAGTATGCACATTTTTGCCATAACAAAGGGGTTGAATACTTATTGACTGAATACATTTTTTATCAATGTAAAAACATTTCTACAAACAAAAATTCCACTTTGACATTATGGGATATTGTGTGTAGATAAGTGACACAAAATCTCAATTGAATCAATTTTAAATTCAGGCTGTAACACAACAAAATGTGGAAAAGGTTAAGTGTTGTGAAGGCACTGTATACATTCCCTGTGTAAGACCCAATGATCTGTGAATGATACAGATAACACTTTGGTGTCGTTATACTCCTACTAGTGTGCTCTAAAAGTATTGGTACATTCTGAAATATAATTTTACACATGAATTTCAACATTAAAACCATTAATATACACTACCGGTCACAAGTTTTAGAACACCTACTCATTCAAGGGTTCAAAACTATGAAATAACACATATGGAATCATGTAGTAACCAAAAATGTGTTAAACAAATCAAAGTGTGCAAAGCTGTCATCAAGACAAAGGGTGGCTATTTGAAGAATCTCAAATATAAAATATATTTTGATTTGTTTAACACTTTTTTGGTTACATGATTCCATATGTGTTATTTCATAGTTTTGATGTCTTCACTATTATTGTACAATGTATAAAATTGTAAAAATAAAAGAAAAACCCTTGAATGAGTAGTTCTACAACTTTTGAACAGTAGTGTAAATATCTAAAGAAAAGTCATTTTTTTGTAAATTTTTGGACATTGTTTGAAACAATATACTCTAAAAGTATAAGACAATTCCAGATTGGGCTCTCTGCTACTTTTAAAGTTATGATCAATTTTATGAGCACCACCAACACAATGAATGGGGAAATTGATTAAATGGGAACTCCCTCTATTGGTGATTTGCTGAATGTGCCATCCTACAGGAGGGCCGTAATTGGTTAATGACCTATCATGTCAATGTATAATGTATAAAATTGATCATTTCTTTAAAAAGTAGCTGAGCGCCCACTCTGGAAATGTGATGTGTTTGAAGAATATATTGTTCCAACTTCCAAACAATATGTCTAAAAAATAAGCAAAATCAAAAAGGGTACTTTTGAGATATTAATAATAATATTTTTTTATGTTGAATAAATGTGACTTTTATTTTTAGAGCACACTATAGGGAGCATAATGACACCAAGATGTTGCCTGTACCATGTACAGTTCACGGATCATAGGGTCTCACAGGAGGCAAGTAGCGGCAGGTAGCTTAGTGGTTAAGAGCGTTGTGCCAGTAACCGAAAGGTCGCTGGTTCTAATCCCCTAGCCGACTAGGTGAAAAATCTGTCGATGTGCCCTTGAGCAAGGCACTTAACCCTAATTGCTCCTGTAAGTCGCTCTGGATAAGAGCGTCTGCTAAATGACATAAAGTAAATAAGTATAGGCCTAAAATGGCCACTTTCATTGTGATTTTCTCAAAAATGGTTCCTGATACAAATGTAAAAAGCATGTTAAACATCCTTCTTCCCAATTACATTTTTATGTCCCCCTGAGACTTGACAGAACAATCTGTGATACCCAACAACAACAAAATCATCTTATGCTGGCGTGGGCATTTCTCCTTTGCCAAGATAATCCATCCACCTGACAGGTGATCATTACACAGGTGCACCTTGTGCTGTGGACAATAAAAGGCCACTCTAAAATTTGCACAGATGTCTCAAGTTTTGAGGGAGCGTGCAATTGGCACGATGACTGTAGGAATTTCCATCAGCGCTGTTGCCAGAGAATTGAATGTTAATTTCTCTACCATAAGCCGCCTCCAACGTCGTTTTAGAGAACTTGGCAGTACATCCAACCGGCCTCACAACCGCAGACCACGTGTAACCACGCCAGCCCAGGACATCCATATCTGGCTTTTTCACCTGCGGGATCGTCTGAGACCAGCCACCCGGACAGCGGATTAAACTGAGGAGTATTTCTGTCTGTAATAAAGCCCTTTTGTGGGGAAAAAATCTAATTGGCTTGGCCTGGCTCCCCAGTGGGTGGGCCTGGCTCCCAAGTGGGTGGGCCTATGCCCTCCCAGGCCCACCCATGGCTGCACCCCTGCCCAGTCATGTGAAATCCATAGATTAGGGCCTAATGAATTTATTTAAATTTACTGATTTCCTTATATGAACTGTAACTCAGTAAAATTGTTGCATGTTGCGTTTATATTTTTGGTCAGTATAAGTTCATTGAATACATGTTGATATTTCAATGGGTGTACTGTTCTCTCCGCATTAGGTTTTGGTTGCCATACATAACTGGGGATACTTTTTTGTTCATTCTAATGAGATGGGATGAATGTTTGTCACAAACAGTTGATTTATATTTATTTGCATGAAGTAACCTTGGTTTATATTCTTTCGTCCTAGTTTCTCGTCTAATCACCATCGTCACTGACCCATACAAGGCTTGTGAGAACGCCCATGCAATTGTCATCTGCACAGAGTGGGATATGTTCACGGTGTGTTTTTTATTTTTGAAGCTACTCACTCATCAATTACTGACATCAAATGGCAAGGAGATGACTCTGACAATTACATACATAGTTGCATTGGACTGTACATGGATGAAAGGGAGCTCTCAATGTAAACCATAGAGTCCATATTTGTACTGCAGGAGCTGGACTATGAGAAGATCTATAAAGCCATGCTGAAACCTGCCTTCATCTTTGACGGTAGAAGGATCTTGGATAGCTTGCACGACCAACTCCAGCATATCGGCTTCCAGGCAAGTAACCACAACCACAGTAAGACAGTAAACATGGCTTTAATATGAAAACACCGTAGGCACAAACAAAGAAGTCATCTTTGCTTTTGGAAGGCTGCACTGACAAAAAGCCAAAAGATCCATTTGCAGCAGCTCTTCTAATTAGTATTGGAGAAATGTTGAATAATAGAGACAGTCCAGTAGTTTCCGAAGTAACTGTTTGTCTTTTTCCAGGTGGAGACTATTGGGAAAAGAGTTAACCAGAGGATCCACTTCACTGCCAGTGGCGACAAGTCAAAAATAGACCAACAGCAACCATTGAAGAAGATCAAACTATGAAGTGTGCTTATGGGACATGAGCGACAGAGCCAGCTCAGTGCAGTAATATATTAAACCAAGTTAACATTTTTTATGTAATATTAAATCAGTGGTAGGGCTAGGCGGCATACCGTATTTTACTATATACACCAGTATTGATGCACGGACCGGTTTGGGTTTTTACTTGACCTTCTAATGGCATTTCAATGTTTTGGTTTGTTAAATGTGTGATACACGCGACTCTCACGCGTGTAATGTTCGGTTTTTATCTTTTACTCCCTTTGCTACTTGGGTCATCTCTCTCCCCCCCTCTCCTCCTGCATGCCGCCAGAGACGAAGAGTCGAAGCGAGAGGTTTTACTTGCTAATTTGCAACGTGAGGCTTATTTGATCTAATAGAAGTTTCGTAATGGTTAGGTTGTTACGAATGCACTGATATAAGTGGACGCACGTTGCATTTCGGCAACGTTTTAGCATGGACATTGCCTTTGAGGGGTTCCACCATTTTAAAGTAGTCAGGGATTCCTATGAGTTCGAAGCAATCAGCCAATGAAGAAGATAATTGACTACTTTAAAATAGAGATAGCCTCAATGGCGCTGCTCTTGCTGTCACAGACGCTATAACGCACAGATAAAATTGAGTCCTATCCATCTCCATGGCCTGTTGTTCACACGCATATTTTCCCTCTCCTTGGCAAGAAAGGTCCCACCTGATCTCGCCTTCTCCCGCCTGCCTTCCATCTTTGAGGACGTCCATTTCCATTGTTAGAGTGGTCACTTGACTATCTTGTCAATATAATGCCACGTGCATCCACTTATATCAGTAAATTTGTAACAACCTAAACATTACGAAACTTCTATTCGATCAAATAAGCCTAGTGTAATTAGACACTCTCATAGACTTCCATACAAAAAAGGGCTTATCTCATGTGGACAAACTTTGGGTAGAGTAAATCCTCTCGCTTCACCTCTTCCTCTCTGCTTTCACTCTGTCTGCATGGTCAGATGCAACAAGATGTTGGGGACAATGATGCTGATTTATTCTTTGCTTCTTAATATACAGTGCATTCAGAAAGTATTCAGACCCCTTTAATTTTTCCACATTTTGTTATGTTACAGCCTTATTCTAAAATTGATTAAAAAGGTTTTGTTTTCTTCATCAATCTACACACAATACCCCATAATGACAAAGCAAAAACAGGGTTTAAAAAAAACGGAAATATCATATTTACATAAGTATTCAGACCCTTTATTCAGTACTTTGTTGAAGCACCTTTGGCAGCGATTACAGCCTAGAGTCTTCTTTGGTTAGGACGCTACAAGCTTGGCACACCTGTATTTGGGGAGTTTCTCCCTTTCCTCTCTGCAGATCCTCTCAAGCTGTCAGGTTCTATAATTACATAGTTTGTGTATCACAATTATTAGTTTGTGTTTCTTACTGTCTGCAAACACTAGTTGGTATTTTCTTAGCAAGTTGTGGCAAAAATAAATTGTGTTAGCTGGCTAGCTAAATGTACAAAGAGTCAGAGCAAACGTAGCTAGCTAATACAGACTGATACCAGTGCTGGTGTAGGCTTAGATCAGCATGTTGTTTGTGCAACAGTATATTCTAAATCAGAGGAATAGGCGAAGCATTAACATTTTCGCTAGCGCTAGTTAGCTACATGGAGTAAGAGAAAACATGTAATGTAACATCTAATTAGGGTCCCTTGGGAAACACTGACCAACAATTTGGTTCATACCCAGTCACAAAAAATTCTACCTGTCTTTTTCATTCGTTGTCATGTCAAACGACAATGTATTAAAATGCTGCCCACTATATTCCTACTATATAATTAGAATAATCATGCATTTTTCGATAATTCTAACAGTTCACCAGTTTATTAGGCCTAGATTCCCCCCCCCCCCATATCATGCAGCCCTATGTGTGACCGTGTGGAAATGATAATGAGTGCAGGAAATGCAGAAATGTATGATTTGGGTGGGGGAGAAAGGAGAATGGAGAAAGCCCCATTGAAATCACCTATAATTTATGTGTTGCCATCCTAGGGTCATAAACTACTCATAAAGCATATTTAGAACATTTTGATATATAAAAACATAAATACTGTCAAAAATGTGAAGAATATTGTGATATTACTTTTTGGCCATATTGCCCAGCCCTAATCAGTCGTTTCAGCACCCTCATCAACTTAATATGGCGACTTGAAACAAATAATTATGTCAGCTGCAATGAAAGAAGCCTGGGGGAATGCCTGGGGAATGTTTTGAAGTTAGGGTTGAGGATCTTGTTTGTCAGCAACATATGGCAACAATACCCCTCCAACCTCATGCTTCATTTATTTGTTTTGTGCATGTTGGATACCTACCAGGGTTTGGAAGGGGGAAAACAACTTAATCTAATGTCAGATGTTTCTGTATTTGCCCTTTAAGTATATTTGCCCCAAAATATTCATGTATGAAAGCATTTTTGGATGACTGATTCCATTGTTCTTTCAGTTTTTATTCATTTCAAAGCAATTTCTATGAAATGGTGCTGGTTGAATGTGAACTTGAGCGGTGTGAGTATAAACATAAACGATACATGCAATATTATAATTATGTTGTTTTTTAATGTAAGAACTTTGTAAAGTAAAACACTTTAAATTTTTACCTGCAGAATAAAACCATGTTTAGTATCTGTGAATACGAATTTTTTTTAGCATGACCAGAATCAATTGTACTGTACTACAATTATGTTCAAACATAAGTTGTTTTATGCCACTTTCTCTCAATTATTTTGTGTACTAGGTAGGGATGTTGCCAGTTTACATAACAGATGCTTTTATTCAAAACAATTCAAGGTTGCTTTGGGTCAACTCAAAGTTGCAAGCAACTCAACTCAATCCTTATTAGTTGCATGGCTCTTGTTTGGTCAGGCATTTGCTTAGTCATTCTGACAGTTCATTCTGTGAAAGGGAAGACTTTCCTCAAGGAACGGCATACCTCTGTCGACAGTCTTGACGCACTGCTGGGTTTCCTGTGGATCAGCCATGGGGCAGTGGCTTTCATGTGACACATGAACCTAATCATCAACATCTGTTCGGCTCTGACAAATGCACTTTCGCAACAAGGCCCATGACGCACAGACGTGTTGTCCACTAGTGATAAGTCACAAGTCTGCTATTTCCTTTCAATTACAGCTGAGAGCTAAACCATGGATGATCATGCCAAAGCAGATTGATTGCATTGGTAACAGTCACCACAGCTTTCCTTACACAGTTAAAGGGAGGATTCAAACTTTTATGCAATCTCTACCACTCCATATTCAGAGACAGCATTTCAATTACATGTAGGCTCATGTAATTGGTATTGTAAAATCCTCAAAATACATTCCTCATAGGGACTGGGGGGAAAATAACCAGTATGTTATTTATAATAAAGGTTACATGGAGAGAATCGGACCTCTCTGAAATGAAAATGGATAGCCCTCCCTTCAGCAAAATATATTTAACCTAAACCCTCCCTGAACACTTAATAGAGAGCACGTCTACGGTTTACCCTCACTTCTTGGACGGGCCAGAGCCTTAGATATGCCGTTTTAGAAACTGTTCTTTGTCTTGTAAGCATTACATGGCAATGCAGGAATTTTGATAGCACACAGGGCTGCGGGCCAGAAGCTTATGGGTACACAGACCACCGTGGACAAGAGTAGGGGTGGAAAGATCTCCTTTATAGTAAAAGTATTGCATGAATCTATCATCTTATTTGCAGGTGAAGAAAAAATAAACATTTCATGCAATTCTACGTAATTTTACATATTATCGGAATCTATTTTTTTATATTATTTTTATTTTACCCCCTTCTTTCTCCCCAATTTCGATCTTGTCTCATCGCTGCAACACCCCAACGAGCTCGGGAGGTGAAGGTCGAGTCATGCGTCCTCCGAAACATGACCCGCCAAACCGCGCTTCTTAACACCCACCCGCTTAACCCGGAAGCCAGCCGCACCAATGTGTTTGAGGAAACACAATTCAACTGACGACAGAGGTCAGCCTCCAGGCGCCCGGCCCGCCACAAGGAGTCGCTAGAACGCGATGAGCCAAGTAAAGCCCCCCCAGGCCAAACCCTCCCCTAACCCGGACCACAATCACAACCATGCACAGCCGGTTGTGATACAGCCCGGGATCGAACCTGGGTCTCTAGTGACACCTCTAGCACTGCCTTAGACCGCTGCGCCACTCGGGAGGCCCGGAATCTTTTTTTTATGCCACACAAGTTTCCATACAAGCTGTCTGGGTTTAAACATCTTCTATTGTACAGAACGTGAATAGCTTAAATCAATTGGCAGTGACAGATTACTTCCCAAGCAAAGCCAGCCACATCAAAGAAACAAAACAATGATACCCCCATATGCATTGGAGTCACGTCTTTCTAGCATAAAGCATTGTGGACCAAAGCGCTGTTATAGATCACTTTATATCATCGGATCCGTTTTATTTTCCTCAAAATCTTAAGATAACAATGCTTTTTACCATTTTCTTTAATAAAAAGGTAGGTCTATGGCAGAACCTCTCATACACCCTCAATTGGAGTCTTGGTTTTAACTTAACAGCCCTTCATTGACACGGACGTAGGCTATTTAAAGAATGCATGGTGGGTGGAGGAATTGACCGAACAAATCTATGGATATAGCAGCCTATAGACTAATTTAGTCCGTCAAATAGGTAGGCCTACCTCTTACTTCTTAAATAGGAAGAAATAGGCTCCAACAAAATGAAGACGTTGAAATGAATTACGCCTACTTGAATTTGCCTACTTTCAGTACCATGAGCTGTCCACTTCCGATTGATTGTGCCGGGGCTGCCGCTTCAGGTTTCAGCTCCACAATGGAAGTTTCTAGAATATGGCTTATTGTGAGGTCAATAACTCTGATAAATACACTGAACAAAAATATAAATGCAAACAATTTCAAAAGATTTTACTGAGTTACAGTATCATATAATGAAACCAGTCAATTGAAATAAATTCATTAGGCCCTAATCTATGGATTTCACGACTGGGAATACAGATATGCATCTGTTGGTCACAGATACCTTAAAAAAAGGTAGGGCTGTGGATCCGAAAACCAGTCAGTATCTGGTGTGATCACCATTTGCCTCATGCAGCGCAACACATCTCCTTCGCATAGAGTTGATCAGGCTGTTGATTGTGGCCTGTGGAATGTTGTCCCACTCCTCTTCAATGGCTGTGCGAAGTTTCTGGATATTGGCGGGAACTGGATCATGCTGTCGTACACGTCAATCCAGAGCATCCCAAACATGCTCAATGGGTGTCAAGTCTGGTGAGTATGCAGGCCATGGATGAACTGGGACATTTTCAGCTTCCAGGAATTGTGTACAGATCCTTGCGACATGGGGCCGTGCATTATCATCCTGAAACATGAGGTGATGGCGGTGGATGAATGGCACGTCAAAGGGTCATGGTATCTCTGTGCATTCAAATTGCCATTGATAAAATGCAATTGTGTTCGTTGTCCGTAGTTTATGCCTGCCCGTACCATAACCCCACCGCCACCATGGGGCACTCTGTTCACAATGTTGACATCAGCAAACCACTCGCCCACACAACGCCATACAAGCTGTATGCAAACTGCCTGGTACAATTGAATCCGGGATTCATCCGTGAAGTGCACACTTCTCCAGTGTGCCAGTGGCCATAGAAGGTGAGAATTTGCCCACTGAAGTCCGTTACAATGCCGAACTGCAGTCAGGTCAAGACCTGGTGAGGATGACGAGCACGCAGATGAGCTTCCCGGTTTCTGACAGTTTGTGCAGAAATTCTTCATTTGTGCAAACCCACAGTTTAAATCAGCTGTCCGATTGTCTGGTCTCAGACGATCCCTGCAGATGAAGAAGCCGGATGTGGAGGACCTGGGCTGGCGTGGTTACACGTGGTCTGCGGTTGTGAGGCCGGTTGGACGTACTGCCAAATTCTCTAAAACGACGTTGGAGGCGGCTTATGGTCGAGAAACTAACATTATATTCTCTGGCAATTGCACGCTGCCTCAAAACTTGAGACATCTGTGGCATTGTGTTGTGTGACAAAACTGCACATTTTAGAGTGGCCTTTTATTGTCCCAGGAAGGTGCACCTGTGTAATGATCATGCTGTTTAATCAGCTTCTTGATATGCCACACCTGAGGTGGATTGATTATCTTGGAAAATAAGAAATGCTCACTAACAGGGATGTAAAAAACATTTTAGAGAAATATGCTTTTTGTGAATATGGAAAATGTATGGGATCTTTTATTTCAGCTCATGAAACATGGGACCAACACTTTACATGTTGCGTATATATTTTTGTTCAGTGTACATCATGGGCAAGAAACATATTGCTTTTAATCAAATCAATTACAGTAGTAGCAAGCTATCAAAGTTGACCTCCGGTCCTCCTCCTCATCTCCACGCTCTCCTTCTCAAACTGAACAGAACATAGGCTAGATGCGCGCAATATAGTGCACAACAAAGAAATTGGAAGAAACCTTTGACTCTCCTCCTGAACTTCCACCGTAGCCCTACACAGCACAGCCATTGGTTAAGCACCACGCAAAAAAGTATTTGATCAGCAAGAGCAGAGCAGCCCGGGGCTCAGGGTTGGAATATCCATTGCAGTGTGCAGCCTAGTTTTATTTACACCATCCTAGCAGCTATCTTAGAAATATAACTTTGCTCTGTGCTTCTCCCAGCATGCACTTCGTAGCCTATAGGCTATGGATAATTTGATTGAGACCACACTAAATACTGATATTGCACGCCCAGCGGAGAATTAGAGATGAGGGGCAGCATCGGGCACACATTGATATATAGCCTAATTTGCAACCAATTCTAAAACACAGAAATATTGAAATGTAATCAATTACAAATTACTGTCCATTCGGAAAGTATTCAGACCCACATTTGTTACGTTACAGCCTTATTCTAAAATTGATTCAATAAATAAAAATCCTCAATCTACACACAATACCCCATAATGACAAAGTGAAAACAGACTTGCACTGTACATTACCCTCCCCTGGACTATATTTAAAAAAATACTAAACCCTCCCCTTGACTGCAATTTAAAAAGCATGACCCTCCCCCATTTTCCTCCAGGTAACCATTCTGTAAATTCCGATCCGTCCCTAGCTAGCTAATATTCCAGAAGTTATGAGTATTTATTCTGAAGTGAATGGGAAAACAAACTTGTTTTTTTAAATTGCAATTTGATATACATTTTAGTAGTTGATACAAGTATTATATTTATCAGTTAATACAAAAAGAAATTGAACAAATGTTTGTGCCCCGATGTCAATTGGATCTAGTAAAAATGGAAACGCCATTGTCCAAACACCGCGTGCAAATGCTTAAATACATTTTCATTTGTACAGACGGAAACTTCCAAAATCAAATCTTCATAATAAAAGCCCTAGAATCTTCCAAATAAAAGCCCCCAAATAAAAAAAGCCCTAGGATTCAAAGACAGACAAAATCCTGTTTTTCTGAAGAATACATTAATGAGGTATCACTTCTCATCTCATTGTATAGTATACCTGGTGGATCTGTTTGGCACCGTCATTGAGCAACAATACACTCCACAGCTGTGGGCTTACAGTAATGCAAACATTGGTTTAAAAAAAATTGCGTGTGGAGAATTTATGCATAGTTCGTGACGCAGAAAACTTGAGCAAATACGGAGTATACTTCGCACTGGCAAGAATTATCCTTGATTTCGGGAAGTTCATTGGTCATTTGCGCTCAACAAGAAATGTAATTGTTTTTATAGAATAGCAGGTGATGTATTCTTTCATAGTAAGGTTAGGCCAATGCTTTTGGTAGTAAATTAAACTGTAAACTAGCTAAATAATTATTAACACCAGGACTACCTAATGCTACGCTAGGGGTTAGGGTTAAGTTTAGGAGTTAGGTTAAAGGGTTAAGGTTATGGGAAGGGTTAGCTAACATGCTAAGTAGTTGCAAAGTAGCTAAAAAGTAGTAAGTAGTTGAAAAGTTGCTAAAATTGTCCGAGATTAGATTTGCACTCGCAACCTTTGGGTTGCTAGACGTTCGCGTTATACGCCCACCCATCCATCCTCCTTTCGTTTTTCACTTAAGTAACCATGTCTTATGTAACCATACCAAACGTAACATATCATACTAACTGGAGTGTCTCGGATTTACATCCAGAATAATACGAAATGCTCCGAGACCAGGTTGTATTTCACAAATCAGAGAATTTCGCAGCATAAATGTGCAGGTATTATTGGGGAAGCTGTAAATGCTATGCTCTTAACTGTGCCAAATAAATGAAACATTTTTTAATATATTCCAAGAGCAAATCTCATGTGAAAATGAAAACTCACTGCATGTAAATATTTTCCAGATTGTTTGTGATTTGCAATGTCTCCAAGAGAGTACACTGTCCCATCAGTTTCAGCAAGGTGGCATCAACATTGCACAACCACAATGAAAAAGGTTACAATTTCCTACAAGTTCTATTTCAGCATGTCTCTCTTACCTCCCCTACTTTTCAGGTTGTTTTGATGGCCGTCTTGTGTCTGACAATGAGTATCCCCGTCTTCCATTCATGATGACGTCATACCTGTATCCTAAACCAGGCGCAGAGAGCTGCTTCAACGAGGCACTGTACGAGAAAAAAGCATGCATTAAGACAACATTCACCACGTTAAGGGCCCGGTTTAGTTGTTTGAAGGGTCTCCAGAGCGTGTGACATAGTAGTGGCATGCAAGGTCCTTCATAACATTGCCATCATTCGTAAGGAGGCACCACCCTGTATCAATTGGATGCCCTGCAAAAACCCAGTGCCTGTTCACTGTGATCACCAAGATGGTACAAGTGTTATGACAATTTCACCCCAGAAAGCCAAGAGGGTAAGAGAGGACTCGCGCCCCTAAGTGACTGAACCAAAATGAGTGACTACAGACACTGCAGCAATATGCTCTCCAGAGATCAGTAAATTATATCGGAAGAAGGAATCTGTTGACAAATGTTTATTTGAAAAAGGAACATTTATTCAAAAAGTGAAGCTCGAAGATTGCAATAACTGTACATAAGCATGATTAATTGAAGTTCCTTGTGGTTCATGACTGAGAAGAAAAGAGAAACATGTAAACTGTATGAGCAAAGGTTGACAGATTAAAATGTAATGAATAATTCCTAAATTGGTTAAATTAGAAACATGAGAACTGGTTGTTGAAGTGATGTGGAAAGTTAATAAACATTCTGAACGGCTATCCAGTTAGTTTCCCCAATCTTGGGCCTTGAATACCACCAAGTTTGACTTACTGTTCATACAAAGCTCTTAGCTGATTATTTATTTAACCGTCCTCCTACAATTCTACCAACATGATACTGCTTTTGTGATATGACATCCTATAAACATCAAGTTTAACTAATTTAAGTGAAACTTACATTTAATTGTTTCTCAAGTAATTTCATCTCCAAGGTCATCTTTTGCATCTTTAATTTCCTGTAGTTGATCTCCTGTTGCAAGTATTTCATATACAAGTCCTTCACATTGACATTTGAGGGCTTTCTTGGTTTGTCCCCCTGGAAAACATTGACATTTAAAACAAATGCATACTTTTTATTGTTTAACGGCTCCCATTTCACTAATTTTCTCAGTACATTGTATTCTTAATGTAGAAATATCAGGCCTTATATGGCAAGCACTTTTTTAACCACTTATCATTGAGTGAGTAATAATTTTCCCTCTCTGTCCCATGTTTTGGAAGTGGATGGGGTGGCCTCAGGCGTGGTCTCAGGCGTGGTCTCGTTTATGCCTGGACCCTATGAGGTGTAATGTTTAGAACATTATCTTTATCCATGAGGTCTGATTACTGATTAGGCCACTTCCAGAATACTTTTTCACTTTCAATGATAATGTATACATCAAATTAATTAATTTAACAAATTACACTAACATCTTCCAACCGCACAAATCTCTTCTAAAAAAAAACATATTAGGCCTACCTCCTCCTGTGTAGAGGATTCTGACGTGATTTCTTCTGCATTGTCAATGTATACGACTGGTACCTAAAACATACAGCAGTCCAATTAACAAAAGTACTGTAGGCTAAGTAACCACTGCTTGAATGTTTTCTATAGCTTTTCATAACTCACATTATTCAAATACATTTCAGACCCAGATTCTGCTGCTGTCTCCTCTGATGTCATGTGGTTTGCTAGCACTGCAAAAGCATAATGCTCTTGTTAAAACCATGGTGAGGTCCATGCCAGATCTAATAAAAGACGCAGAGATGATCCCAAAGGGTCAGACTTGCCTCTCACAAAGTTTGAGCTGGAGCGTGTTGACTCGAGCTTTGTGGATGAGGTTTCTGCTGTCATACAGTCTATAGTGTAACAGAACTTTTGGGTTTCATCCATCAGTTCTTCTGCAGCAGAAAAGCCAGGTTGCAGTGGGCCTTCCCTGGTCATCTGCCTCTCTGCTTTTTTGGCTGGAATCAGAGATTACATTGTAAATCTGTATCTTGACAAACCGTCACAGTGGAGAGTTAGGGGCACTGACAGTCCAACTCACCTGTTTGTACCATATTCTTATATTTCACCTTGACCTGCAGCCAACTTCGTTTTACTCCAGATGGATTAACCCTAAGGCTGAACGATTTTGGAAAATAATCTAATTGCGATTTTTTGCCCCCAATATTGCGATTGCGATTTAATATGCGATTTAATTTATTTATCCTTTTTCCCCTACAAAACATAATGAATGATTTAAATATGACCAACACAATAGTATATACATTTAGTGTGAAATGTTCTTTCCCATAGGCTGGGTCTATTTGTTAGAATTAAATTCAAACATGTATGACTTGAAATAAATGACATTTTTATTGAACTGCTCATTACAGAAACATCTGTGGCTTTGCCACTGTGCATTTAAATAATTTAAACAAAGGCATGAACTTTGTAAACACTGTGTGCAAAAGGTACAGTCTTAAGAAAAAAATAATTTTAAATTGTATGTATCTTACTGCTCCCAAGTCAGTAACATTTCACACAACTGAAACAAGGAATTTGCTTTGAAAATATTTTGTAAAATCAAAGTAAATAAAGTTATAAATAAAAAATGAGAAATGCACTTTTAATTTAGACAAACTATTTTTTATAAACGATTTGAATATTATAATATAAAATAGATGAGCCTCACTTATCTCAAGTACACAACAATAACACACCACACAGACTAAAGTTCACTACGAGTGACTACAGACGTGATTCTCCTCGTGGAGATCCCAGCTGACAAGCCCTTCTCTCAGGCCGGCTGCAATATTTTCCCCTGTGTGATCGTCTGGGAAGTAGGTAGTTTGTAGGCAGCGAGCTCGGAGGTTGAAATCTTCATCAATAAAATGGACTGTAAGACTCTGGTACGGCTCAGCTGTGCGGCTTGACCACATATCAGTAGTGCTAGCAAAAAACTCCACCGTTTTAAGTTCCGCGGCGACTTTCTCTTTGCACTTTTTGTACAGCTCCGGTATGGCAGTCTGACTGAAGTATGTGCGGGAGGGTATACTGTAACGTTTATCAAGCGTATGTATTAATGCCATGAACCCAGGCTTGGTCACCGTGCTGAGAGGCATCATATCTTTGGCTATGAACTCGGTTATTGTCCGAGTGATTTCTCCGTGCCGTTTTGAATTACGTTCATACGGAGTGACACTTTCGAACATTTCTGTCAGTGATCCCTGTCTTGAGGTATTTGGCTTGTCTCGCGCACTGATGCTCGGCATTTTGGTCATACAACTGTCATGCATTGATTTGTGGTATTTTTTTAAGTGCTGAAACAGGTTTGTAGTGTTACCCCGTGAAGTAGCAATCGGAGCACGGCATGCTCTGCACAACACCTGACGCTGCTCAGCATCTTCTTTTTTAAAACCAAAATAGTTCCACACCACCGACGTGCTGTTCCTCTTCGATATTAAAGTATCAGCTGTGTCAGTTTCTGACTGTTCCGTCGAGCAAGAGGCCATTGCGCTGGACAGCATGAAAAGTCGCGTCACGTGACCACCTCAAATCGCGCACGTTGCGATTAGAAAATCGCGTTCAGTCAAATCGCGATATTATCGCGAATGCAATTAATCGTTCAGCCCTAATTAACCCTGTCATGTAGATAAAATAGTTGAATCAGAATCAATGAGAACAACATCTTCTCTATACATACATATCTAAAAACAGTGGCTTGTTTACTTTTTTCATGATGAGTGTCTAACTTTCCTCTCCATGGCACTGTTTGACTGAAGTTGCAATACGGTAGAAAAATACAAAGCTATAGGTTCATATCGTGCAATTTGCAAATGATAACTATGGATGGGGGGCACGCAAGTAGGCTATCTTTAGAATATAAAGGTTAGTTAGCTGTTCGAAGATGCTGGTCAGACAGCTAGCTAGCTAGCTAGCTATAGTTGCTATCAGGAACTACAAAGCCATTCAAAATGTAGCCAACTACTGAACATAGAGTAACAATCTAGAAGCAGCTAGCTAGCTAGACAGCCCACTTCTTTACCCAGAGCTACAGGATTAACCAACCAATGCACCACTAGCTAGCTAGCGTAACATTAGTTACTGGGGCTAACTTGCCACACTCAGTGGGTCCTGTACACTGTCTATATGGCAGCTACTTACGCGTTGACTGAATCGGCAATTTTCTGCCATGCTTCCCGTCTAGCTTTTCCAGCAGCAGTTGTATTATTTTTGTGATAGAAAATATGTTTTAGGTCGTCAAACCGCTGAAGTATAACTTGCTGCTCTGCAGCACTGAAAAAGGCCGCCCTTTCTCCCTTCTCCATTTTTAAATCACCTGGTGTGATCGTTGTCATGGTTACCCCTCTTCTTTTTTCTTCTTCTTTTTTCAAAGATCCTTGGGACGTCCTTACCCTAAACCACTACCCATAACCCTTACCTTAACCATTTAAAATGTAAACTTCAATGGGGTAGGGCTTCCCAATAATTATTATGACCACGCTATGGAAAGGGGAGACTCTCACGATGTTGTTCTCTGCCCCACACAAGTGTCACCGTACTCGTTTGAATTCGGTAATGCCGATGTGCCAACTTCTGTCTGTAGCGTCCGAACCGTTTGAATATGATCCACAAGCGTAATGGGACTCGTTCGTCTGAAGGTAACCCATAGAAACGAATGGAAATATTTCATGAGCTGTCTTGTGTATTACTCAATGGGTTTCTATAGTAGTAAAGGCCAAGTTCAATATTGTATCAAATAATTTGTTTAGATTTTTTTGATAACTAAAGGGGTCCTAAAATTGATCCCTAGTATGACCATCTTATCTATCTATCTATCTATCTATCTATCTATCTATCTATCTATCTATCTATCTATCTATCTATCTATCTATCTATCTATCCATCCATCCATCCATCCATCCATCCATCCATCCATCCATCCATCCATCCATCCATCCATCCATCCATCCATCCATCCATCCATCCATCCATCCATCCATCCATCCATCCATCCATCCATCCATCCATCCATCCATCCATCCATCTATCTATCTATCTATCTATCTATCTATCTATCTATCTATCTATCTATCTATCTATCTATCTATCTATCTATCTACTTCACATGGAGCCAGCTGTCCTTCATACAATCAGCTGACAACCTAAAACAGGGGGACTGGCTTTGGGACTCCTTGGGTTCTCGAGAGCTAGTGCCATGGTCTTTATACCTCCATATTTACCCATCTTTTTCCCATGCATCGCCTGCATTACTTAGTGACATTCCTCTGCGAACCCAGGAGAAACCCCCAAAGAAAAGCAGAGGAGACAATGGCAAGGATCTGAACGGGTCTCTCAGATCCAAACCAGCACAGGTCTGTTTGGGTCTGTTTTCCACGCTCCTTTTCGGAACGGGTTCCTTTGGAACGGGTCTCCATTTAAAAAATAAAAATCTGCATATCGGGTCGGGTGGGAAAGCCACGGATCCATTTCCAACTTTTTGGACCCATTAAGACCTCTAACTCCCAAGGTAGGAAGAAATCTTGGAAGAAACCAGACTCCTCTTGGCTGGGTAGAAGGTCAGAGTGTATGACCATCTATGCTGGTGTGTGCGTTGCATATTCTCTCCACAAACTCTGGTAAAGTAACAGAAGCTTTGCACTTTCACTTTCAGTAAAATGTTGCGCCATTTTAATTTCAGTTGCCACTCTTTTGTCTTTGTTTGTCTTTTGTATGTCATTGCATTTTTGTGACCATCGTGATATATTGTTTTCACTCCGTCCTCACCATGTCATGCTTTTTTGGCACATTATTTCCTGTTGGTTTGCAGACAAGCCTACTTCTCCTCCAGTGGCCTTGGGCTCTCATGCACCTAGGTGCCAGGGTTATTCAAGAACACCGTTAACTTGAACCCTGTGTTTAGAAACATTCTGGAATCTGGAAACACATATGAATGCTGTTATCATTTGTGGAGGGATGAGTACCTGGTCCCCATTGGCTCTGTGCAGTGGCGATTTTAGCATGTTAATCTAGGTGGGGCAAACAAACAAAAAACTGTGGGATGCATGCCAGCAAAGCCACTACACAACACTAAACAATACATTAATTGCACTATAACGGTGACAAACAGTGCCCACAAACTGTTTGGGCCTACATAAAGATGTCCCAACAGCAGTCCCAACAGCAGTCTGGGAACTCTGAAAAAAACAAGGTCAAATCATGATGACGTCAGTGATCTTCAGGTCGTAGCACTAGAAAGAGGCCCGAGTTCCGGATTTACAATTCCGAGTTGGATGACCGTTCAAAGCGTATTTTCCCAGTCGGAGCGCATTTTTCCCGAGTTCCCAGTTGTCTTGAACTCACTGAAGTCAGATTTCGCAGTTCCGAGTTACAGTTTTTCTCAGTCGCTTTGGTGCATTTCTTAGATCAAAAGTGCAATTCTTGATACTACTTGTACAAATTCCAAATCATCTAGTCACTTGTGCACATCATTAAAGCAATTTATTATTCCTTTGAACAAATTGCAATTGCTTTTGTACATATTGCAATTGATAATGTACAAGTGTCAGCTTTTTTCCACATTTTCAATTGCTCATGTCATGTTGATCAAAATATAGTAGATGGTTCTCTGTTGAATAGTCTTACCCCTCAAAACATCTAGGCATTAGTTCCTTGCATAAGCCATTACATGCAAAATT